CGCCTCTCAGAGTAAGGACTCCAAAGCGCTTTACACTACAGTGTATCATTCATCCATTCACACACACACACATTCACACACTGGTGGGGATGAGCTACGATGTAGCCACAGCTGCCCTGGGGCGCACTGACAGAGGCGAGGCTGCCGAGCACAGGCGCCACCGGTCCCTACGACCACCACCAGCAGGCAACGTGGGTTAAGTGTCAAGGACACAACAGCAGTATTCTCTGTCAGGAGCTGGGATCGAACCTGCAACCTTCCGATTACTGGACAACCCGCTCAACCTGTTGAGCTACTGCTGCCCCACAGCGTGTGTAAAATAATGAGGTGTTCAGTGATGGTATGAATGTTTTACTTTACAAAAGGTTTATATATACAAGTTTATACAAAATGTTAAATGAGGGAGTGTAAACACACTAACCTAATTTTAAATATGAAAACTGTTAAAGCAAAAAAAAAAAAAAAAAAAAAAAACAAGGGCCCACAGCTCAATAACTATAAACAAACTAAAGATCTAGACCAATTACTAAATTTCAAACAGTCACAGCTAAGGAGATCACCAGATTCGGTCTGTGTCTCCCTGAATTGCTCTGCTTAATTATGCCCGAGATGAAGGCTGATTGCTGATCCTCCATCCTCCAGAGTCCCCTTCGCCTGCAGAGATTTCGTCCCCTTCACCTGCAGAGACTTCATCCCCCTCCAGAGTCTTTGTCCCTTCCTCATCCCCCTCCAGAGTCTTTGTCCCTTCTTCACCCTCCTCCAGAGTTCCCTGTGTCCCCGTCTCCAGAGTCCCTTCCAGTATATACGGCCTCCTCGTCTCTTCCTCGTCGTCCTCCAGAGTCTGCGTCCCTTCCTCGTCCTCCTCCAGAGTCTTCATCCCTTCCTCGTCCCCCTCCAGAGTCCTCGTCCTCCTCCAGGGTCCCTTCCTTGTCCTCCTCCAGAGTCCCCTCTCCTTCCTCCTCCAGGGTCCACGTCTCTTCATCTTCCTCCTCCAGAGTCGTCAATCCCTAGATTCCCCCGGTCCCAGCTCCTGGTTCCCCGTCGCCGGCCCCCCAGACTCCCCCTGTCCCGGCTCCTGGTTCCCCGTCGCTGGCCCCCCAGACTCCCCCGGTCCCGGTTCCTGGTTCCCTGTTGCCGGCCCCCCAGATTCCCCCGGTCCCGGCTCCTGGTTCCCTGTCGCCGGCCCCCTAGACTTCCCCGGTCCCGGTTCCTGGTTCCCCGTCACCGGCCCCCCATACTCCTCTGGTCCCTGGCCCCCTTGTCTTTTGTTTTTCTGTGGTCTTGTGGGCATCTGGTATTGGTGGGGCTACTGTCATGGTCTGCGTCTGTGTCTCCCTCATGCGTCTCCTTGTGTGCTCCATCCCCCTCTAGGATCCCCTTATGTGTCTCCTTGTGTTCCTCATGTGTCCCCTGGTCTGCAGCCCCTCCAGGTTCTCCCTCCCAGGTATCCTCCCCCGGTCCTGTGCTCCCGTTGGTCTTCCCTAGTCACCCCTCTGTATTTTGTATTAGTCTCTTTTAGTGTGTTTCTTTCCCCACCGGTTTTTTAGTTCTCCTTCCTCCGTAGATCATTAGTTATTTATCTTGCTCTTCTTGTCTTTAGGTTTGTTTGTATTCTTAAGCCATGTTAGTTTCTCCTCCTCAGCTCTCTCTCCTCTCCCTGATTAGTTAATTGTTTTCACTAGGTTTCTTTCCCCACGCACCTGCAGCTTATCTCCCACTCATCCTGCCCCAGTGTATTTAACCCTGTCTGCGTCTCAGTGTGTTGTTGGGTCATTGTTTGTATCAGCTTGTCTCGTTCCCCTCTCTAGGTATTTGAATCGCTCATGGTCTTTTGCAGTCTTGGATTTCTTTAGGTTTTGTTATTAGGACTTTTTGGATTTGGGTTTTTGGCTACCTGCCTCTTTTGGATTTACTCTGTAATAAAGGATTTTTACGTTTTTTCTACCTACCCTGTGTCATCTGGAGTCTCTACATCTTTGGGTCCTAACCTCCTCCTGGCTCACAACATGACAAAGTCGGTTTATCTTTGACTGGCTGCACAGACCATCCACCTTTTTTAAAGCGTAGATGGCACACTGCATATCTGTCCACAACAGCCTTGGTTCTGGCAATGTCTCTGTTGCCATTGCTGTCATAATGAAGAGCAGCCAGCAGCAATCTGAAATAGAGAAACAGGAAAAAAAAAACATGGTCACAAGTCCACACACACACACACACACATGCTAAATAACGTTTGCCTAGTGTACATGCCGAGGTACGAGAACCCCGTATGCTTCGGAGCAAATTTCAGGATCAGGGAGTGGAATGCTTCGAGTGAATATGTCTGATGCTATGGTGAAAGCTGTCTGACATCTTTCACAAACAACGACTGGCATGCTACTTGTTCCAGTTTAACTGCTACACTTGATCCTGTCGGTCACCAAAAGATACATTGAAATAAATCACACATAATTATATAACTTATCCTAGGGTGTGTCCATCAGTTACCTGGAATTAGCCATTGTTTGTTCCGGTCCTTTCCTACCAGTGGAGGGTTGAGACAATGGAAACACTTGTGTTCCATGTTTGTGAATGTCGTGTGCATGGTTCACCAGTGACTTCCACTTAGCTTCCATTAAATCTGGATTTGCGTCGGGTGTGGATGCTGCTGTCCAGTAGAGGTGGTTAACAATGGACTGTTTCCACGATGCCAAATCCTCACAACCGCTCTCTCTGCTGACAGTGTCCAGTTTCTTGGCCAGACCTGGAAAAGTTATACAGAAATATTGTGCATTCCTAAAAGAAACTAACTGAGCATTTAAACTGTAACACAAAAAAAAAGGTGATTTTCTGCATCATACATCTGTAATGGTGAAACATATTAAAATATTACCCTTTCCACAATGCCAGACATCATAGAAGTGCCTTGTTCCTTGGGGTCCAAGTTGTTCTCTGACCCACTTTGCAACCTGTCGATTGCGATCCATTACAAGTACATCGACACTAATGTCATTATCTGAGAAGAGCCTGATGCTCCTCTTCAGCCTCTCAAGCTCACACCAGGAGCTGTTTGGAACCTCAGAACTCTAAAGTAATAGATGAAAAACACACATAACACAAAACGGTTAAATTCACTACCACTTAAGTTTGGATGAAATATACATTTGTCTGCATACCTGCACAAGCTGTACATCAATTGCCTTGTTTAGTCTCTCCTCTTTGAGTGTGTAGGAACCATATTTTGCACAGTGACCAGGGCTGTCAGATCTGCAGTCACCAGACAACATCATACCACTACCGTATTCCTTCAGCTGTAGCATTAAAGCTGACTGCTGTTCTTCCCAAGCCAAAATGATGGACGAAATTGAGTACACCCTTTGATGTCTAAAATAACTTCCCGCTGAAATAGTCTGTACACCTCCTAGCGACAGCATCCATAAAGTCTGAGATACCATACACCATGTGAAGTGCATGGCCCCAGAAAGGAGAAGGTTGCAGGCTAGCATGTTTTTGTGGAGCATGGGCTGATTTCGCCAGGATCTGTTGTAACCACACAGATCACATTTCTGGAATAAACACACAACCAAATAAACAAATAAACGAAACTGGGTGTAAATTTAAAAATGGGGTGAAAATACGGATAGTTACTTTTGAACAAACACATATTCGACCAACCTGCTGAATTTCTATGAAGGTTCCAGACTTCTTGGCAATACTGGCCTCTGCTCTTTCTCCACAAATGCAGGTGCAGAACAGCTCCATCAGCTCGCTGTGGCAAACAATGTATTTGTTTGCCTGTGGATTTTGGCTGAGAATGAAAACAGATCATTAGCATACTTCACATTTCATTTGCGTTCTATTTTTAAAACCAAACAAGCACTAATCAACCAGCCTGGTTCATCCTCTAAAGATCCATCATCTGATAAGAAGTTATCAACAGACATGGGTTCAGATTCATCAAATGGATCGTAGCTCTCATCCTGGTCATCTAGGGGCTCAAGTGACGATACTGGCGATGATAAAGGTGCCGCAACACATCACTCTCCTCATACTGGGTCCCCATGTCCCTGGTGGATGGATGTAGGTCAACCTGTGCTGCTGAGAATAGACATTTTTTTATGTAATGATTTTGTGTTACATTAGCCATAACAACGTAGTTTGTCAATCAATAAACAGTTTTATGGAAATCTTGGAAATTTTAGTATAAATTGTTTAGACATTTTGTGCTCTGCATGTTATAGTTTACCTGTAGAACAATAAAGAATGAGCCGTCTGAATCCACACGATTCACTGTGGTAGAGGAGTGTTTCTGACCAGACATGCACTCATCCATCATGTCACATCGTGTCACTGGAGATGCAGCTGCTTCAGGAGTTTGTTCTGTTGTTTTTATCAAACAGTTGGACTTACTTTATATCTCTTGGCTCTCAAGCATTAGAGTACTTAGGATACACATATGTGCCTTACCTGGGTATGAAATTTAATAAAACTGCCCTATTCTTCCCAGTTGTGTGCATCAGGTCTGTTTCGTTTCTAGAATAATGAAAACGGGTGAGAAATAGGTCTAAATCATAGTCAGCTTGAACGTAATTTTTGATTAAATGACAAACATTTAGTCTGATGATGAGAGATGTGCGCTAACTTGTAAATAGCCTCAACCTATTAAAGTGAAGACATAGTATAGCCTAATAATTAAGGAATATGATAACCCCAATAGAGCTAAATAAATATAAAAAGTCGGTCTAACAGTGTGATAAAATGCAACAAGATTTATTACAAGTTCACATTTGACATTTTTCAGGTTCTTTTATGAAAGAAACGGAAACAAGTTTGTTGCAAAACAAGAAAATATGTTTATTATAGCGATGAGTTCACATTTTCTTTTTACAAAAAAGTCCTCAAGATCTGGCTGTAGCCTTAAAAACACAGCAGTGAAGGAAAACTGTTTCCTCTAACATGAAATAGCCTATCGTAGGAGAGTCCTAGCCAATCAACACCGCTTGCTGTTTAAAACCATCGAAGAAGAAGCACCCTCATCCTCTGCTTCCTGTTTCCTGTCTTAAGTGTGTGTCACATTAACTTTGAAGACTGGAGCCTAATATCTGAATAACGGTAACGTTTATTTTTAAAATGATTTTGTCCAACCGGATAAAGTTTTGTTCTCTGGCGTCCACCGCCTTTCGTTTGTACAGTAGCGGGACCGCGTCGGCTACTAAAAACCCAACGGTTTTCTTTGACATTGCTGCGGACAACGAGCCGCTTGGCAGAGTAACCTTTGAGGTAAGAAGAAAAAAAAGACAAGGTCGTAAAAGCAGGACGGTTAATTCGTGTCATGTAGCCTCCACATTCAGAAGTCATTTGAAATAGATTTAGGTAGTTTTATTTGGAGAATATTTACTGTTGGGCTTTTTTTATTTTGCAGCTCAACGCGGATGTTGTGCCAAAAACAGCAGGTATGGTTCTATTTTTGTCCTAAATGGCTAGATGCTGACAGGTGAGACTCAAAAAATGAGAATATGTTGCTAAAGAAAATGTATTTCAGTAATCCAGCTTAGACTGAGAGACCATCTAAAGGCGCAGGAACCCTTTGCCGGTGTTATGGATTAATTAGCCGATTAGAGTGTGACACTTAGTCTAGAATAATGAACATTTTCACAATATTTTAACAGTCTGAGATTGTGAATGTGAGGTTTCCATAAGCCGTAAACCATAATTATAACAAATAAAGGCATGAAATACCTGGCTTTGTATGTAATGATTTTAACTGATATGCTGAGGTTGCAGTAGAACCTGCTTAGCTGTTATTTGAAGTGGAAACACTTTGTGTTTGAACCTGCAGACACTACATGTTTTTTACATGAAGGTATTTGAGGTTTAAGAAGAATTCTGCAGTAATCAGCCACACCATTATGCCGGTGAATCATCCTAAGCCTGTTGAGACTTGCTGATATTTAGATTGTTTTTTCTTTTTCTGTAGAAAACTTCAGAGCCCTTTGCACAGGAGAAAAGGGCATTGGATACAAGGGATCAATCTTCCACAGAGTTATTCCCCAATTTATGTGTCAGGTAGCTTTTTAACATTTTCGTGTGGGTGTGGCAAGGTGGAGAAATGTTTCTCCACCTTGCCACATGTGTTTATGTTCCATCCAGTTGTTACAGTTGGATTGCATTGATCCGCTTTGTGGCTTCAGGGTGGCGACTTCACCAACCACAATGGAACTGGAGGAAAGTCCATCTACGGATGGAAGTTTCCAGATGAAAACTTCCAACTTAAGCACACTGGGCCTGGTAATCACTCTTGAATACATTTGTAAACAAACATGAAAATGACTAATATAATTTCTACAGAGAAATTTCCCTCCAGGCTTTCAAAAGATGCAACAATCAATGCTATAATGCTTTTCACAACAAACAACTCAATTGTGCAGGGTTGGCATTTTCAGATCAACTTGTTTGCTGTTATGAAGCCACGGACATCACAGTTCTTACATATTCTCCAACCAAAATTAAATGGCGGGTACATCTGATCTATCTACAAAGTGGTTAATCTTCTGCGCAGGTGAAAACAAGAAGGACTTGACAGCAGAACAGGTCACTGAAATGAAACCAGGTCCTCTTTGTGTCTTAACTGGCCGTTTCCTAAATAAGGCCAGGTGTTATTTTTTTTTATAGACCCCACCCAGCCTGGACTCGTCTTTACGGGCTTTCTTCCATCTGGTTAGATTCGGGCAAATTAAAACCAAACTTATCAGACTACATAACAGCCTCTCTCAGCGTCGTCTCCTCCACCCTGTCGTAAAGCTTCTCGGCCAACTAAAACCACCCTGTTGCATATGTTTCTTTTGTGTTGGTTATTTTCTAGGTCACATTATGCTGTGTTAAAAGAAATGGACCAATTTTTTTAAGACTATTTATTTTATATATATTTTTTGTTGCTTTTCATAAGCATTAGGTCAAACGCTGTTTTGTTATGCCCATGCTTTACCATTAGGTGGCACATTTGTGCAACTGTTAATTGAAAAACCACTGACTGATAAAAAGCAGCTCATTCATAAGGGTAGCTGCTTCATGCTAATCTGTTGAACTGAACACAGTGCTTCAAGTCCTTGAATTTTACTGCGATATTTTAAAGATTTTAAAACGGGTTGCATTTTAATTGTTAGAAAGTTAAGTCATTTTGAGAATAAAAGTTCTGTTTGAGTAAACCATCAAATTAATTTGCTGTAAAATCTTAAACTCACCTTGAAAGTACTTGAATTATTACGTTTTGTTTTTTGCTAAACCATCAAACCTTGATGTATGTTAAAAATGTGATCACACATGTTTTCTGCCATTGATTTAGCTGAATGTAGTTTATTTTGTTTCTTCTAGGCATCTTGTCCATGGCCAACGCTGGACCCAACACCAACGGGTCCCAGTTTTTTATCTGCACCACTAAAACTGAATGGTAGGCGTTGGTGATCATGTTGGTTTTAGCTCACGTGAAATGAATCGGTTTGTGAAGAACTTGATCATTTACCTGAAGCCTTCCTCACAAGAAAACTTGTGTATTATGACATAACAGCAGCAGAAATACTTAAACGGTGTCCTAAAACGACAGTCGGTGCAGGAACAGATTTTCAGCGCAGCATAAAGAGACAAGTCATCGTGGATCATCTCACTGTCTGACGCAGCAGTATTAAAACAAACCTCTCGTTCACTTAGGCTGGACGGCAAGCATGTTGTGTTTGGCTGCGTGAAGGAAGGAATGGATGTGGTCAAGAAAGTGGAGTCCTACGGTTCAAGGTCCGGGCGACCCGCCAAAAGGATCACCATCACAGACTGTGGGGAGGTGGAGACTCCAGTGTGAGTGGAGGGTGCAGCCATATTCTCATCTCCCGCTGTAGCCTGGACAGAAAACTCCTTTGTTCTTGGCAGGGTGCTACCTCTTTGGTGGAGGGAAATGGAGATAACTTGATGTTTTTGTTCTCATGTTGGATCTCCAGTACTGTTAGATTTTCTTCAGGTAATAATGAGCACACTTAATTCTTGTGCTAAAAACTGTGAACTTCACTGCATTTGTAAAAAAGAGAAAAGTGGCATTGACTTGAAAATGTATTTTTCTCATGAGATGTTTTACTCTTAAACTGACTGAAATAGTCATGAAAAGATTTGTATACATGTGTGTACATCGCTTTAGGAGGCTTTTATCACCAGCTGATGAACAAGCTCGGTGTCGTCATTCAGCCCCTCAAGATGTTTTCATTTGTCAAATATAAAGGGGAGAAGCTATTGAACTTTTAACAGGAAAAAATTAATTGGAGAATATTTTTATGTTGTACCAGCGGTAGTTTACACCACACCTAATAAAATACTCAAAGGCAATGGCTAACTAGCGTGAATTAATGACTGAACCGCGCTTTTATGACCTGACACATTTGACCTCAACATTAAAAATGCTGATATTATTTCTTTTGAAGACAAAATCACAAACATTAAACATATTTAAATGCATTTTACTGCAAGAATACTTTTAATGACAAAGATCTTCATTGTTATTCAAGCTAAGGCACATTAAATGGGATTTCACATGTTTATAATTATTTAATACTGATTTATTACAAATTAAAAATACTTAAAAACAGTAAGTACATAAAACCATTTATTTCTTTTGATTCCTGACCTTTTTTCAGATTTTCATCCCTTTGCCTCAAGATAAACCCCACCTACAAAAGGTGAATCAGTTTGGCCTCGTGCACTGACATTTGACTTCATCTGGTAAAGAAATAAGCATTGTCATCATGAATCACCTGCCAGACATGTTCACAACAATGGTAACAATATATAAGGACTAAGGTGGCTAATATATTCCTTTCTTTCATGTAATATTCTACAAAATATATGGCTTTAGATATATTCAAAAGCAATGTACCAACCAGTACTGATAATACCAACATGGAACAGAATTATAATAATACTGCATAGCTGTTTTTAGTAAAGATTTGCATATTTATACAGAAAACGCATGATTACATTTACAGTGAGTTATTTTAAATATACAGACTTGTAAGAAATTTATTTCAAAATTTGTTCAGTGTAAAAAAAAAAAAAAACCAGAACCAACATTTCATTCACAGCTTTTGGTTCGTAGAAAAGACTTCACTTAAAAATCGCCAAGATGCTTAAAAGCGTACGACCGTCACCCAGAGGGAGCCTTTTATTCTGAGGAAAGATTATGTTTGTTAAGATTCATTACAGTACAAAAACATCACGTTTAGAACGTTAATCCTCGCCGCTCCAGGGGTAACGGGGTGCTATTGAACGCGGCGACAGTAGTAGCCGAGGACTTTGCATTTTTCACACAGGTGTTGTGGATGCTCTTTGCTCTGGTCTGAGACGTCCAAGCCATCCGGTTTCTCCAGAGGTCTCTGAAAGAAAAACAACAGATACAAATGTTTGCACCAATGATGAGTTCATGTACACATTCTGAATATTTCAGGGCTTTAGTCACCAATTCAGAAGTTAACATTTGATTAAGTTCTAAATATCAACAGTCCCAATATCGATAGCTCAATAAATCACAAAGATGTTTGACAATCAAACCCCAGTCCCCTCAGTGTCCGCAGCCAGCAGACGAAGAGTTGTTAGCCTTGTGAGAACAGAAGATGTTGGCTTACCACAAAAATATTTTCCTTTTCAAATATAACGACACCATCACTTTTTTATTTATATCAAAGCTGTTTTAACATTAAGCTACACAACTGACTGGGCCATGGCTGTTTGTTCTTGGCTAAGGTTGATTAGCTGCAGCCATCTTGAATTGGACTGACTTGAAAGATTAGTCAGTTGTTGATCAGCATCCAATAACTCATTTTTGCAAGTTTCTTTAAAATCCTTCCTGTGGATTATGAGAAAGTTAGCTAACAAACACACACAGTGTAAATGCAAAAACATTTGGGCAAATAACCCATGCTTAAAGATTTATGATGATTGTGTTTTTGTTAGCATTTTATTAGAAACGCATATATAATGAAAACCACGAGTGGGGTTTTTGGTGCTAAACTGACTGACCTTCAGTAAACGATTAAATCTGTGAAGTAGTTTCTTGGTATCAAAATGTGTCTCTAAAATTCACCGACATATGTTAAATCCATGGCACACATCAAACAGGATCTCTGCTGCCAACCACTTAATATTCTCCCTCTCCTGATAACATTTTACTTTCTTTAACATGGAATGTGCTACTACTAGTTCTCCTGTTGAATTAATTATACATACACATGTGGGTGTGTGTGCATGTAATTGTATATGTATACACATATATGTTATCTACTAACTTTGGTTGAACCTTTGTAATGTCAAAATGTTATGTTTTTACTTTTGTTGTTTTTATGAACAGTTTTTTTTATAAAAACTGTATTTTCATATGAAAATTTTATGGCGGCCTTCTTGGCCAGGGCACCTTCGCAAAAGAGACTTGATCTAAGGATTTCCCTGGTTAAATAAGGGTTAAATAAAATAAAAATAAACAATTATAGATTCACTTAAAGACAATAAACTTTTAATCTAACTAAATAGAATATCTACTAAAATCACAATGTAGCAACAGAAACACTACTTGGTATATACAGTGTGTTTTTCTGTGCGTGTGTGTAGGGGTGTGCGTGTGTCTGCTCAATCCCCAGTGAGTCGTGGTGGATGGCTGCTCGTACTGAGGTTTCTTCCTGTTGAAAGGGAGTTTTCCTTTCCACTGTTGCTACATGCTTGCTTAGTATGAGGATTGCTGTAAAGACTCTGCTGGGTTCCTTAAAGAGCAAGCCACTCCAAATCAACATTTTTTTGCTGATAAACTATATAAATGAGTGTCTGATCGTGCTGCAGACACGTGTAGTCAATAATTTGGCACTTTAGTGCTTCTTAGTTAAAATTTAAATATTCTGCCTAAAACTGTCAGTGTTGCACCGTCGTCAGGTAAAAACTCAGCACTGCATTTGAATTTAAATCTGCCGTCGCTATTGGCTAAGAGGTACACTATGATGTTAGATGGTACATTATAATGTCACAATGTCGTGAGTGTGTGTATTTGTTAGCGGCTCCACCCTCTCGGTCTGCTAGGCAACAGCATTTGTTGCATTTTTCAAACAGGAAGTGGGAGTTGAGTAAGAATCTGATAGGGGGTGACTTGCTCTTTAACTTTTCACTGGTTGAATTAATGAAATTAACTGTATTGGAATGTTTAGGTTGTGCGTTGAGACGCCTCCTGTCGGGATTTGGCGTTATATAAATAAACTGAATTGAATTGAATCAGAAAATAACTTTTATCCTTTTTTTATTAATTTATTTGTTGGGGGCAGTAGGGGACCTTTGGTTAGGAATTAGATGGATGTGACTTAGGCTTCCTATTGCTCATCTACCACAAAGCTGGCCTTAGTAATTAGGGTGACTAATCTGATTTTCCCTCAAATGTTTCAAAATCCATCTACAAATTTTGAGGTGATCAAATTCATTGAAAAGTGGCTCCAAATCTCAGGATCAATTTACCCTTGTTGTTTATTTTGAAACTTTCATCTTGTTCCTCAAGTTTCATGAAATCATTCACACAGACTAAGGTGCACAGAAAAGAAAATATTTCTAATCCAAAGATAAAAGCATTCTTTTTCAGGAAAAACACAACTCTTCTAAAGTTACAGAAAATTGAAGTATAGCTCATGGCCTCAAGAGTCAAACTACAACCAGTCATATAGTAACAGCATAAAACCACAAAGTGTGTGTGTTAAGTTTGGTGAAGCGCAGCTTTCCTGCAAGGATTTGACAGCACATATAATCCAAAACAGTGAGAGGGGCCCAATTAAAGCTCCAAGGAAACCCCATGGAGCACATCTGATTTGGGTAAGACCTGCTTTCTGGTTCTCCTTGGCTCTGACACACGGTTACCTGTTTGTGAGGGTAAACGTTGATGTGGCACTTGATGCATTCTTGTCCCATGTTGGCCCAGGAATTCCCGCTCATCCACTTCCTCTTGCATTTGGGGCACTTATATTCACCGAAACACCTCTTTTTTCCCTGATACGGAGTCAGACCTTCACCTTTAGGTCGAGCCTGGAAAGGATTAATCGTGTTAAGAAAGTCATAGTATTTAATGGGTGTTTCCTGTGAAGTCGTTTGTAAATCTGGAGCTCTCTTCAGCTTTGTTTAAAGGAGAAATACCACTTGAAGCTTATAAAAATAACCATATCAAACACCATTTCTGCATTATTGGGCTTGTGTGAAGCCCAGCTGAGAGATGCAATCCTTTAACAGCTTTGCAAACATTTTTGCTTTTCCCTTTCACCACTTTTGTATGAAGACTGACCTGTTTAGTTTCTTTGGCCATGAGCCAATTCAAAGCTCTGCGTGATTGCAACAGGAAGTGATAGCAGCCCTGTTGGTGGTCAAGAGAGTCTGGCTGTTGCTCCAGAATAAAATAATTATTTATAGCTTCTCAATACAAGCCTAAAACACTGTCTGATGAGAGTTAGATTCTATGTAGAAATTCTTTCTACATACAGGTTAGCTATGAAGTCATGGTAAACACTTTAACTCATCCCAAGCAGATGCAAATGTAGCGTTTGGTGTGATTTATTTGTTGGAGGAAAAATGGTTTCAGCTTCCCCATTTGAAATGAACTCCTTGCTTCCAGCTGTGCTCCCGCGGGGCCGTGAAGGGGACCTCGCCAATAGGAGGGGCCCTTCTGCCATAGGACAAATACCTCTGGCCCTCAGTCATCCCTCCCAGCTGGCCCCATTTCACCAATCACAACGTTAAGATCTGAGCAAGGAGGAAATAAAACCCAGACGAACTCTGCACTTTTTTAACATGACTAAATGCTAAACTCATTCCCCACAAAAAAAAAGCTGAATGAAAAAAGCAACCATCTTGATCAGAATGTTTTCAATTAGCGACATCCGAGTTTGAAAAGTAGGACACATTAAAATTAAAACTGATTCTGCATCATGTCAAGCATTGTTTTGTGTGTGCAGCAAGTTCTAGACATCCCACAGATCATTTTAGCCGTTTCCAGGAGAACATCTGCTCAAAATGTTTCTGAGGGACCAACCGCCAGAGTCAGTGGCCGTTTAAAGACACAATGAAGCTTTTATCAGCCTTGAGTTTGCAACAGTCAGCCACCACGCGGAGGTCACATCAGACGGCGGCTCATGCGTTCTCAGGCGCCTGCAGGGGGAGCGGACAGATGACCATCTTCCTGAGGGAGGAAACAGCTTTCACTCTTCAGAACAAACAAAACAAACTGTACCTAGACTCCGGAGCCAACAGGGCATCAGGGGGCATTGCACACGTTGGAGTTTCCACTGGAAACCCATGAGCAATGTCACACCAAAATTCAAGTGACACTTTTGACCTGGCAGTTTTAGGACAGCTTGTGGAAAGCAGGAAAGACTGAGTGGTGCAGGAGGAAAGATGTTTTCAAACCATCCAAGTACATTACACACCACCGCCACCTCACACATTAGGGGTCTTTCTACATCATGTCTTATCTAGATAAGAACAAAGAAAGTGACAGTAGCTATGGTGAACAAATCTGACTGCAGCAGTAAGGTGGCGTAAAGGCTTTCCCGGGAGATAGCAGATGAAAAAGGCCCTAAACAGAATCATTTCTGTGTCAAACACAACTTTCATTCCACCATCAGTGAAAGGTTCGGTTATTTAAAAGAACAGTTCACATAACCAACTTTTTAAACAACGTTTACCAGTTTTTGCTGCTATTGCGACAATGGGTTCTGCTAACCCAACAGAACCATTTCAACGACAGATGTCATGCTAACTATATTAGCACATAGCTTTGGGTTCTGATTAGTAGGCTGATATGCTAACATCAAGCATGTGAATAACCTGTAGAGATTAGCATTTGTTCTAAATGTTATTATTTGCTGAGGCCCATCTGTTAATGACCTGTGTGTAAAGAGGTCCAGACCTACATGTTAACCTAGAGAGGAGTAGGAGAACATGCTAAATATGATCAGAAGTTACTCTCTGTGACTTATGGTTCACCACAGACGTGACAACCTGACAGCACTAGCCAGAGGAGAAACAATCAGAATATAGCAAAACCCACAAACATCAATTCTGATGTGACTTTCAGACTATGAATGAGTAATCTAACTCCAAAAGCACTAAGGACTCAGATTTTGTGGCTGGACATTTCTTTCTAATTAGATCATTAATCTGTCCCATTACAAAACCAATACCAGTCTAATTGTTGCTGTTTTAAGACAAATTAATGTCAGTTTCACTCATCATCTCAACTGCCACCACCTATATTCTTTATTCTCAGCTCAAGAGTACACAGAGTGATGTAATGCCAGATTTTAAAGCTGCAGTAGATACGTTTGGACAAGATCCTTGTAGCCTGATGAGAGAGGCCCAGGAGGCGGCTGCCATCATCTGGAAGCCATCAGGACAAACAATGGACCACTCGAAATCCTCAACCCCCTCCCTTCAACCCTCCTTTCTCCTTCACTCTCTCCTCCACTCCCGCGCTCTCATGAGACACCCAACCTGGTTAGAAAAAATCCCACTGGATACCATGTGGTCAATTACTCAACACTAACAAACCCAGAGTGCTCACTCTCTCTCGCTGGGTTTAATTTGTATCAGACCCCCACAGCATCACAGAGAAACCCAGCTGTTACCAAAGCAAACAATGCTTAAAAGCCTAAACTGGAATCCTTTCACGGTGATCTAGACTTCTACTATCACTCCAGTTACCTATACATTTAATTGTGTAAAATATGTTATTTATTGGGGGTTTTAATAGCATGAGCTAATGTAGAAATGACTGCAGGAACACAGTTGTCAGAATTAAGACTTTATTTCCTCAAGGGATTTATGTTGCATAAAACTAAAGCATTTACTTACTAGTTCTACATTTTTTAAAATAATTTCTACTTCTCATTTCATTTGCAATCTTTTTTTTACTTATTTATGGAAAGCGTAAAGTAAAAAAGTTATATTATATAACTGGTTCTGATTCTTTTGCACATGGGTGGGCAAACTGGGTCCTGTTCTGTTTTTCAGTATATTTTAACTGTTTCCCTGAACAACACACCTGATTTGAATAATTAGTTGTTTAAGATTCTTCTGCTGAGCTTGATAACCTGGTGAACAGAGGATTCAACCACTGAGATGTGCTGGAGCAACAACTGCAACATGCTGGATAGCGGCACCCGAGGACCAGGACTGCCTACCCCTGCTTTATCAAAGTCTTGTAAGTAAATTAAAATACGAATTCAATAATCAAACCTATTTGATTCAAACAGTAGATTTAAAAAATTGTAGTGGAATTTAAACACATGAATTATGACCAATAAGATGTGATTTTCTATATAAATATGAAATATCAATCTGATTGATCTTTGAATGTTTAATCAGAAGATTAATCAGAAGATTCTAGGGTTCTTTTTGAAAAGAACTAGAATTAGATTTTGTAATGTACCAAAAGGGTAAATTTTCACCTATCAGCATAATAACATTTCATCTACAGAAACAAATCCACTTTCTGTTTGGCCTTCCAGAACCAGAAGGTTCTGTTTAGTGCGTGTTTACATACAGAAGTAAATTTTACAAAATCTTAAAGGCCAAGTTCACTTGTTTTTTTCAACACATGGTCTCTAGTATAAATGAATGGCTTGTGAGTCAATCTCTGTGGTGATAAAGCTGCGATTATCCTGTTTCAGGAAGTAGTTAACTAGAGGAAAGTTGAGCTGAACGCGACAAGCTTTGGAATATTTTTTCTTGTTGCTTGGCAAACTGCAACATGACTGACTGCTTGCTCTGAAATGGTAATGTGTTATCTACACAAATACCACGAACCTGAAGGAGTTGTGCCTTGTTGTGGAGTTGCTAAAGCTAACTGTTAGCTTCTGCTAGCCGAGATGTGCTCTGTTCTCTCCTGGATGCTAAATCCTCAACAGCCTTCCCCGTCGCGAGCCGAGATTGACAAGTCCATGAATTGTCAATGTGACCATAGTAGTTTCTAACCCATTTTGGGGGGTGCTGAAGAACCCCTTAAAGCAATCAGAGAATACATTTTAACTAGAAATATGAGTAATATTCCATTCTCCATTTCCTCTTGGTCCCAGAACAATTATGTTTGAATTTAAACACTTGAAAGCTGAAGAGGCTCCAGATTTTTAACCCATCTCGCCTACCTTTTAGAATGTTTCAAACCAGCAGATTGATTCCCACACATACGCTTCTGCACATTATGCTTCTTGGGGCTTATTTCTCCCACAGTTTTCGCTGCTTTTATTGGGGGGAGGATTCGCTGCCAATGCTGAGCTCAGTCCGGAGTCTGACTAAGCTGTGGTCTGGTTGACGACATTTACAGCTGTAAACCAGCATTATGTTTCACAAAGAGTGAATGGCAGAGTCAGGTGGGCTGGCAGACAATCAACAAGCACAAATATTCCCAACTTTATGAGCACAGAAAGAATAAACGTATGGAGCGGTTAAACCTCTGTAGTAAGAAAATAATAACAATAAAAATATGTCATGCATGTTTTTAATATAAAATGGGTCAACTTGTCAGTTGCAGTTAGATTCTCTTTTCCTTTCTGTCACTTACTTAGAAAAAAGAAAAAGAAAAACTTTAACTTGAAATCAGTTAAGATGCCAAGAAAGTGATGTCATATTTAAAAGATGCAAGCACAGAAAGTTTTAGCTCAGGAGCATTTTGAGGCACCGTTTGTCTAAAGGATGCAATCTAAGCTGCATTCCAGGGTTTCCTCTATCTTGTTGCTTGTCTTCAGCAGATGTTTGAGCCTAAAGCAAACAGGTAGTGTACAGCTGAGAGATAAGACAGTGAAAACAAAAAGAACCAAAGCCACAGAAATCAGTTTGTGTTGCAGGATGTCCTCCAGCTGCACATTTAGCTTTACACTATGGAGATATGAGGTCCAGTCTAAGATGTGGATTCTGTTAATATTGATTAGAAATTAAAGTTCAAACTATTATTTAATTCAAGGCCAAAGCTTGTTTCTACTGTGTAAAAAAATAATAAGGTGCGGTTTTTCATGCTGTTTACAAAATGAATCAGTGTATGGTAATATTTATTATTTTTAGCCATTATATACTGTAAGTATAAAATATATATTTGTAAGTATGAAACTGAAAAAATGTGGCATTACTTTCACTTCACAGATTTAGAAAAATAAATCAAATAATGAGTAATATTGAAGTTTGTGAATGAACTCATAGAACACCACAAAACAGGAGGCGATTTCCAAACTGGTTTAGAAAAAAGATTTTTTTAAACAAATTTCATTACAGGTTTAGCAATATCCCTTATAAGATATTTTAATGTGTGTGAAAAAATGAAATTCACCAAGCAGAAGGACAGCATTAACAGGACATGTCCCTCTCTGCTGTGCTTCAGCTCTGTACCTCATTTTTTTTCTTCTGCACTGAAAAACTATAGAATAAACCCTTCAATTATTCTTTTGCAAGTTAATGATGATTACTTTACATTTTCAATGTTTGCTAAGAGCAGCGGCAGATAAATGTAATGTGCGACCGACAGAACAGTACAGCAACAAATGTTATCAGATATTCATCCATACATTTTCCTCCAATTATCCAGGGTCGGATCACAGGGGCAGCAGCCTAGGCAGAGAGGCCCAGACTTCGCTCTCCCGGCCACTTGGGCCAGCTCCTCCGGGGGAATCCCAAGGCGTTTCAAGTCCAGACAAGAAACATAGTCCCTCCAGCATGTCCTGGGGCCTTCTTTAGGTCTTATCCCGATAGGACATGCCCAAAAAAACCTCAACTGGTTCCTCTCGATGTGGAGGATCAACAGGTCTACTCCAAGCCCCTCCCAGATGACAAGCTTCTCACCCTGTCTCTAAGGAAGAGCCCAGACACGCTGCGGCGAAAACTCATTTTGGCCACTCGTATCCGTGATCTCATACACTACCCCAAAGGTCATGTCCCTGCTCTTCAGAGAGCATCTTCTAAACTAGCACCCTCCATGCACCTGTCCCCCTCTCTACTGTCCACTCCTGGTTCCCTCCTCTCCATGATTCATCATGCTGCCTCACTGCCACCTACAACTGACTGGAAATTGGTTGTTGTTGTTGTTGTTGTTAGCCTCAAGGGCAACATGCCGATTATCACTTGTAAGTCGCTTTGGACAAAAGCATCTGCTAAATAGATAAACATAAACATGACCATTGATGAGTGTAGGAACGTAGATCGATAATCGGCAAATTGAGAGATTCGCCTTCCAGCTTAGTTCTTTCTTCACCACGATGAACCGATACAAAGCTCACATCACTGCAGACACAGCACCAATCCGCCTATCAATCTCCTGATCAATTATTTTTTTTACTCGTGAACAAGACCCCGAGGTACTTAAACTCCTCCATTTGAGGCAGGACCTCCTTGCTGACCTGGAGAATGCGTTCTACCCTAAGAGATTCAGTGTTTTTTCAATTTAGTGACCTTTAATATTTTCCAAAAATTGCAGTTGCCACCTTCTCCAATTTGATTTTACATTATCAAAATACAATCCTTCATGGCTCTAAGGATATGGATGGATTAAGAAAACCCGAAGAGACTGACAGGTAGGGTTTAAAAAATAATTTAATTACTAAAACTCAAAAATAGTCAGAAGCAAACACCAGAAAGTAAAGGAAGCAAACATGTCAACATCTGGTGAGACAACTGGGGAGAATCCAACAAAAGAGAATGAAACCAGCAACCATCAGATCATCCTGGACATCTAGAAGTACTGACATGAGTTCACTATTAAAATCACTGTCAATAGGCATATACAAAAGCAAATAGGCCATCAATCACTCTGAAGCCGCTGTTGATGGGAGTGCAAGATTAAAAAAGTATCCTACAAGCACGAATCAGACACTGGGGATTTTGAATTATGTGTGAGAAGATGTGATCATTCTTTTTTATCTGTAAATTACTTTCCAAACAACACTGTAGACACGCCAAAGCTAAAAATAGATTTGCTCATTCTCAAAGACCAAATATAAATCAAGGAATTCCTTCTGTTATCCCAGCAATTATTAGAATTTCCCCTGTCCAAAGTGATTATCGAAGCGGGCCTTTCCCTTCCATTCAAACATGATTAAACTGTAACTGTAAAGACACCCACCCACTTCCCGTCCTGCCCAGTGTTTCCAGAAACACACAGTGTCTGAGCAGCTGCTCTCTGGGTTACGATATCTGCTTCGGAGATGGAGATGACTCCAGCCAACAGAGCAGCACGAACAATACAGCCTGACTTCCTGACCTTTGGTTCTACGGCCTCTTCACAGAAACAAAGCTTTACTTATTTATTCCAGTCCCTTCCCACCATACTGTCTTACTGTCACTACTCATGCTCTTCCATCTCCTCCAGTTCAGGCATTTAATTGGAAAAGCTGTTGAAGCTTGAGCACATGTGGTCATGTGACAGACACAACAGCAAGAGCAATATCAGATTTGCAAACGTAATAGATTCTCAGTCAGACTTGTTTTGTCTCAAAATGTCTGAAAATGCTAGCAAACAGGAACAAAAAGCAGACTGTTCTTTAATTGCAGCCTCAAAGGAACGTTCAAGTGAAGAGATGCTCCATCACGACAGCAGCTCCACAATCGTGTCCTTTGATTTGACATATTAACAACACATGGTAAAATCTGACAGCATTCTATAAGAGAAGTTGAGCAACAAACACAGAGATTGTTTCCAGATTTAGCACATTTCGAAAGATGTATCTGCAACAAAGAGTCATATTTTGATGTCTTAATGTCCTTCTGACGCAAATCTCCCAACTTCCAGTTTGCCATGACTTATGGCATCAACTCATCACTTAAAATCCTGTAAAACCAAACTAAAATGTACAAGAATCTTTGTTTTTTTTTTTCACTTTTTATCACTTTAGGCCTTCATAAAGGTATCATGTGTCTTCCTAATAAAATAAACATACTAAAGAGTCCTTTGGCCATTTTGAAGCCTGATTTTGTGTAAAATAATTACTATTTTACCCATTTGCCTGTATAGATGTGAATTACTCATTTAATCAATACTTTAACAGTGGTATCTAGAAGGGATGAATGCCTTGCAGGTAGTACTCAGGGCATAAAAAAGCCCACAAACACCTGTCTCAGCAGGCCAAGTCTGCGACATCACAGCAGGAGATAGGTGTAGGAGACTATTTTCATGTTCAGCCTGCATGAAAAACACAGACTATAATCAGAAAAAAACATTAAAAAAAAAATTCAGTCAACCACACCTATAAGGGGGATATGGGCTCAATTCCACCAATAAAATGCTGTTAAATGCCCTTCATGCGCCAGTGAAAATGTGTGTGTGTGTGTGTGTGTGTGTGTGTGTGTGTGTGTGTGTGTGTGTGTGTGTGTGTGTGTGTGTGTGTGTGTGTGTGTGTGTGTGTGTGTGTGTGTGTGTGTGTGTGTGTGTGTGTGTGGGCATTTTAACCACACCCTTAGGCCCTGAGTTCTTGAACTGAACTGATGTTCTCATTTTTCTCTGTGTGGAGCCGCTAACAATCAGAAGACGATGCACTGTCTGAGATGAGTCCACAGGAGAAATTATTATGTTTAAAGTTGAAACTAGAGCAGAGAAATTTTTTTTATTCACCCATCTAGTCCACCGTTCATGTAATGATTTCCATTACATCTAACAAATTTCAGGTTTGTCTCTCTGAGCATGATCAATGAGGAAGCACAGCTGCACGTAAAGCTGTGTTGATGTTTCTTTCATGCGTGGAGTAGAGGTCATTCCTATTTCCAAAGAGAAACCTATCATCTTTCATTAAAGCCCCACTTCCAGATCCAGTCTGGCATCTGCTGCTCATTACTGACTGCACGGCCCTGCTACATTTATTCAAATACGTGCTGAGGAATCTATACCACACACACAAAAAACAAATAATGCCAACATTATACTGTTACACTAGATTTTAGAGTTTGAAATCAGTCAAATAAAATCTTGAACAAATCGCTACAAAAGTGAAGAAGCCTGGGGATTGAATGTGGAGTTCATTCATAATTAAATGTCATCAAATCCTCTTGATGTGTTTCTCTTTTACTTGTAGCACTTCATACATTCTACCCAGCACTTTAAAGTATGGCCCACACACCGCACAGCTGTTTCACATTAAGCAGTCATAGATCTGCTCCTGCCTGATGTGCAGCATTGCAGAGCAGCTCACCTGAGGGCAGTCTTTGATGTAGTGTCCTTTGTTGAAGCAAAGGTGGCACAGGTAGTTGGGCGGAGGCCTTTTGCTGGGTTTCTGTGTCTCTGGTGACAGGGACAGATCTGAGAAGTGGTCTGCCAGAGAATTCAGGCCATCCACGATGTTACTGAGGGATCCGTAGGGAGAAGATCCCTTGTAGAAATTTTTGCTCAGGACCTAGAAGAGGAAACAAGATGATACATCACTGGTAAAACTGTTACATAGCTGGAAGGCAGAGAGCTTTATTTTTACATTATTGATTTAGAATTTAAGATGTCAAAAACTACTTGGAACATTTCAAAATTTTATTTAAAAAAGAGAGAAAATGCATTGGTGAATTTTTTATTTAGAACAGGAAAATTTCCTGTTCCATTTCGATCACCAACAGGCCTTATTCTAAAGACACAAAGTTCTTATAGAACAATTCAGCAGTCCATCACAGGGACTTACAGAGGACACCAGTCACACACACGGGACTGTCACGGGATAGTCACCAATTAACTTAACATTCATGTTGTTGTTTTTTCTGTGGGAGGAAACCAGAGTACTCAGATAAAACCCAGCATGCATGCTAACTCCATGCAGAAAGACTGCAGCTGGGATCTGAACCTGCAACCCACTTGCTGTGAGGCAACAGTGCTACCAACCATGCAGCTGTGACTAAACCTTAATGAGAGAATAAACTGTGAGACCAGTCAACCTAGACTACTGTATGAATGCCTAAAATCAGGCCCAATCATTACTTTGTAAGTCACTTTGAATAAAACTGTCTGCCCCATACATAAACCTTTAGGATAAGGATGATTTTGTAAGAAAATGTGGGCTGACAGAACTGCTATAAAAGGAGAGAAGAGCTGCTGTGGGAGTCATCTGTCCAAGCAGGGAGTTAATTACGCTTGGAAATTGAACCACATAGCAAAACATTGCCAAAGCATGTTAGGATATCATTGAAAACTATCTAAATGTGTTTTTGATGCCACCTGTCACGTCCTCCACCCGCCAGTGCCCTCCGGCGCACTGATCTACCTGCTAGAACTCTATTACCCATCATTCCACCCAAAAGATGTCCGCCTTCACATCACTGCATGGAGTATATACAGAAGTCCAGCACTCCTGCCAGCACAGTCATCGTATCACCTTTATCCGAGCCACGAGTTAGTAGAGCCTTTTGCTCTTCATCACGATCATCAAGACTTCTACCAGTAAGTCACTGTCTCTTTCTCTGAAGTGTTGGCTCAGCCTTATTTCCTTTCAAGCTCTGTCTGACGCACCTGTACTAATCGCGTCAGCCACACCTGGCCCTAGCTATTCCCTGTTTGGGTCGTAACACACCTCACAATCAAATTTCTGCTGTCATCACTCAGTCCTCTCCTCACAGCAGCTACCTGACAGAATGACTGAGTCTCAAACATGTGACCCACCAGAGTTTGCGTGCCTTCAGGAGGAAGTAATACACCTCCGCATGCTGATGGACCAACAAAGCAGCAAGCTTGAGTCTCTGACAGAGACGGTTCTCCAGTTATCTGTCGCTCTCCAGCGTCACACCACAGCAGTGAGCGAGGCCCCTCACATCGGCCTCCCAGAGCAGAGCAGAAAAGGCAGCCCAGATGGCTTGTTGGACGCATTGGACATGTTATTCGAGTGCCAGCCCTCCCGCTACACCACCTCCCGCTCCAGGGTTGCCCTGCTAACCGGCCGGGCCCAGGATGGGGCTGCAGCCCTCAACAACAACCATTCACCGACCTGCAATTATTACACCGTCTTTGTAAAGGAGCTACACAAAGTCTTTGTGCAACCCAGCAATGAGGTCGGGGCCAAGACCCAGCTGTTGAAGCTACGACAGGGAACCCATGATGTCAGCAACTATGTGTCTTGGTTCCAAACAGCCGCTGCCAAATTACAATGAGGCGATGCAGCTCTCAAAGCTGGCTTGGTCACCTACATCCAGGACAAGATGGTTGGTTGCAAGGTTCCCAAGAATCTGAACAACATGGCTGATCTCGCTCTACAAATTGAACGGAAGGTCCTGGCACAACCTCAGCCTCAGTTTGTCTTTCCAGGTCCACACTGCTCCCTAACCAGCTCCTTCAACCAACCTCAGAGACCACCACGGAACACCCCATGATGAGCCTATGTAGTTGGGCCATCTATCTCCTGGGAAGATGAGCCGACATTACCGAGAAGGCCTACTGTGCATCCTCCAACCACCACCAAACTCACTGCCCTCTGAGACTGGAAAACGCAGGTCCCAGATAAGGCTTTGGGGACCTTACCTGCATCTCTGTCTTCTCCTCCCAACCATCACAACACCATAAAGATCACCTTCCAGGGAGCAGGGTCCCAACAATCTGGACGCCTTACTGGATTCAGTAGCCGCAAGCAATTTCATAAACCAGCACCTCGCCTCCCAACTCCAGCTCCTTGCTACTGTCTTCAACCAGGCCATTCCTGTCACTTCGGTGGATGGAGGACCACTCCATCTCTTCCCAGTCCACTACCAGACCCCGGAGGTCCAAATGAGTGTGGGAACACATCATGAGGCCCTCAGCTTCTTCCTCATCATGGCCCCTTCCACACCTCTCATCATGGGCCACCCTTGGCTCCAAGTCAATGACCTGCACATCTCCTAGGCTACGGACCGCCTGTTGAACTGGGTACCCCACTGCCATACCCATACACCTCCAAAGCCCTCCCCGCCCGCCGGGGCGTTGGGCAAGGAACCTCAGGACGTCAGACTTATACCTCTATAGTACCATGACTTTGCTCAATTCTTTGCCAAACCTCCGACCACCGCCCTTCCTCCTCACTGACCACATAACCTCAAGATCAAGCTTCAGCCCGGTCAACTGTATCTTACTCTGAAGCATCGTCTCAGCCTTGTTTCATTTCAATCTCTGCCTGACTCTCCTATACTAATCATGTGTTGGCCACACCTGGCGCTAACTACTCCATGCTAGCTACTCCATGTTTGGGTCGTAACACACGCCGCAATCAAACAAACTGCTGTCGTAACTCAGTCCTCCTCACAGAAGCTACCTGACACCACCCGTGTTCTTGTGTTCCTTCTGTCATCTTTACTTCCCTTACTTTTGAAACAATGGTGCGAGACACATGAGTTTGTATGAAAGTGTGTACCATTCTGAAGGAAAGATAAAAGAAAAGCAAAATTCTTTTTGTTATTGATGACATTGTTTTTAGTCAGTTGGAGCTGATATCAAAACTGAATTCCAAATAAATAAACTGAGGAGCACTAGTTGTAATTCTACGATAAGAGACTATTTTATGCATCAGTCCATCACTGACTCTCCCGTTTGTCTCACTGACGCGTATCTGATTTCTGCAGATGTTCAGCTCTGCTGTGTTTGCTGTGTGAACCAATGGTGTCCATTTCCTCATCAGAACAGAATGTCATTGTCACGCATTCCTCTAACTGGTCCCACTGGCAGGACATAATCGGCATCATTGTACATGTGGAGGAGATGGGCGCTATGGCACAGCTGGGAAATCATGGAGACCAGTTTGCTTAGAAATGTCAGTTAACTGCATCACTGCAGATGCTTTAAAGTGAAATGTGATCATTTACATGCTTCTTCTTTTTATGCTTGATGTCTTATTTAAACATGTTTAATTTTCATTAATCTACTCATCTTGAGAGTGTTAAATCAACACTGCAGGCTCTTTTGAGTTTTGACCATGCAGAGGCGAGTCAGGGTGAACTCTAACATTTTTAATAACTTTCTCATCCTGCTTCCAGCTGAACACTGACATCAGAACACACTCGGGCACTAAATCAGGATACAAGAAACATATTAATATTCTACACACTCAGTAAACTGTGATCCCAGAAAGGCATGCAGGTGAGGTTGAAGTTACTGTATAGCGATCAGATCCTGAGAATCTATTTTAGGACGATTCAGGAAATTGTGTTTTGTTAAGTTTTAGTAATTGTTTTAGTAATTGTATCTATACTGCGTGCAGCTTGGTGATACCTCACTGTTAAGTTGCAAGAAGTTGTTCAGATAGTTGGAGCCCAAATCAGCTGCGCTTCGCTCATTCACGTCCCGAGCTGAAGTGTCCGATTCGACTTTGAAGGAATCAAAAGCGCTACTCGGCGCGTCTTGCAAGGACATGTAGATCCAGCTGAGCAGCTGGGCAGGATGGTACACACCGGTCTCTATGGCAGACATCATCTCGTCTCGGGTATGGAGCACCACCGCTGGAGTTTCTGAACCACCTGAAGTCCTGTAGTCATCCCTGTGCTCCGGCTGACTGGTGTGATCCTGCTGAGAGGAGCCCGACAGGATCCTAGAAACGGGTGGCGCACTGGAAGCTCAGAGCATGAATGCGAAAGACTGAAGCGGATCAGGAGTCAGTTGCGTATGGAGTAAGCCGATTTATCATATAATCAGGATCCTCAGGGTCCTCCATAATGCCCGAATGGAGTAAGCCGATTTATCATATAATCAGGATCCTCAGGGTCCTCCATAATGCCCGAAATGTAAACCTTCACGTTTATTAATAGTTTTATTAACTGAATTTGTATATATGTAATTATGCCAAATTATCTGTAGTAACAAAACGAAATAACCATAAACTGGAAAAGATATATATCTAGTCAGATGTGTATTATTTTCGTTTAATAGCCACATGAAAATAAAATATCACATTGTTGCATTTTTCCCTTAATAAAAAAAGAAATCTACTCTAGATGTGATGAATTATGAAAATCTGCAGGAGAAACTAAACAAATTTATGACAAACAAAATGATATACCCAAAATGTTCTAAATAAAAAAAATGAAATAAATAGACAATCCATGAAGAATCTGTCATGTTCTGCGTCCCTGTGGCCCCCAGCCCCCGCAGGGTTCCCTCATGTTACGTTTAGATTATCTAGGTTGTATCTCCCTTGAGTTTATTGTGTTTCCTTTCCCATTTAGGTCTGGTTTCCTCCCCTGCCCCGTTCTGCTCCTCCTCTCAGTTCAGTTAGTCTCACCTGTGCCCAATTCCCTTAATCACCCAGCCCGTGTATATATATATAACCCAGTCTTGCGTCTCAGTATTTGTTAACATTGTCGTTTGTCAGCGTTGTTCTTGTTGCCTCATGGTTTTTTTATAGGATTTTTGTCGTGCCTCCAAAAACCAAGGATTCTTATTTTTGCAACTGCTCCAGCCTGTGTGTTTCTGGTTCTTGCATTTTGGGTCCAAGCCTCCTAATCTTAACGTGACAATCAGGATTTATGTTAACTTTTGAAGATTTAAATTGTTTATGTAAAAAAAAATTTGTCCAGAACGTTTTTAATTTTAGAAAATCTTTGATTTCCATGACGATTCCATTAGATCTTAGAATGGCTTGCTATACACAAATAGGTGGTACTTATCGACATACATACTTCATGGTACTTCATGAGTTCTTTCAAGAGTTTGTCGATGCCTAAACATTGTTCTGCGTATTTGGGATGGCAAGGGAAGATATTCAAAACGTATTAAATTTAGAGTCGTGTAGCTTGTGAAAAGTTTTAAAGAATCTAATGGTTGTATCTTTGTTCTTGTTTGTAAAGTTTGTTTAAAAAATGTCGCCTTTCCCAAACCCCTCCTTTCTAACAAACGTCTGCCATCTAGTGGTCATATTTGATAGTGAAGCTGATTTCGGAATGTATTGTATTTTAGGAAAGTTTTAATCTTTCTCTTGCCAAACAGTTTGGAAAAAACTATTTGAATCAAAGTTTTCACACAGCCCTATCAAGTAGGAAATAATGATTTCAAGAAAATAGTGAGTTATCAATAATAAAAAACAAGGTTGTTGTTTTAATGTACAGGGGATGAGTTTGAGTGAAATAGAATAAGTAAGTACATTTTATTTATATAGCACTTATCAGACATAGAATCACAAAGTGCTTCACATAGATCAAAACGTAAGAGGTTTTTAGTTTAGGTCTTTAGACACCATCCTGTCTGAAACCTCTATCTTTAGTTCACCTGGACTATTCATGCCCTATTAAGAGAATAAGTTAATAAAAAACCGAGTTCTAAGTTTAAAGAATAAATGTCATCATTCATACATGATGCTGTAGGGAAAACATACGCTTTAATAACAGAATATGTTGGTGTGTCCCCGATTAGCAATGAGAGCGAATGGAAACCGTAGATAGAGGGCTGTAAACCACAGCCTCTGTTATGTCGGCCTTGTGACCAATGGTTGTTCCTGGGATGATGCAGACTCGGAGGACCCACCCACCTCCAGGCTGTCTCCTTTCGCTCAGCTTAGCTCTGTTCTTCCTGGATTTCACGTCCGAATTTGACAAGTAAGTTACCTCTTCTGTATATTTTCCATATTACTATCGAGTAAAAAAGTATTTGTTGTGCTTTCGGACTTTTCAGCAAAGCATTTAGCTGATGTGATGATTTGTAGTCCATTTCCGTATTGAGGAATGTGGGGAATTAGCCTTGCCTGGCTGATTAAATTGGCCTCGGCGCAGAAGCAGCAGCCGAAGGAATTGTTTTTAAAAATCACAACGATTCTGTTGAACTTTGTACCTGTACTCTCCTTTTTAACAACTCGACGCTAAATGCTAAACATCAACCAGGAGGTATTATGTAGAGTTAGCAAACCGCTGTTTCGTTATTTCCCCCGCAGTTCTCGGGACAAATTGGGCAACAGCTTTACGGACCATTGCGTGTACATTGTAATCGTAGACGCTGAAAGCTACTCAATGGATTTAACTTTTACCGCACCAAACTGTTTAGCAAGTTGAGGAACAACAGGCCCGTGATGCTGTCAATGGATTTTTGCCCTTTAAAGGTGTTTCATTAAAACTAAAAAGTACACCATCTTGCGTTTTGTTGTATGACATTGAATTTAGAGAATGAACTCCAAGTTCAATGTCATACAACAAAAGCAAGGGCTAAATATGAGTAGTAGTGTTATTTATTCACACGCTCCTCAGACATCTGCTGGCTGTAAATGTCTGCGGAGAACAATCATGGAGTTTACGAGGGCACGTAAAAGTCTCACGCGTGATTTCAGAGAATTTATAAATAACGTTGAAAAGCAGAAGGGAGTGCCCCCAGCGCCTTTCGCAGAACTCACCTTTACCTTAATATGTGTGACTCAGCGTGTATTTGGCGCGCTGGGTTCGGCAAAGCCTCGTTAGATTTTCCTAAAGTAAACGAAAAAACCTCTTAACAGTCTGTAATCTAAGCCACTGACCCGTACTTTGAAGACAACAGCTGAAACGCCGTTTTGGACTTTTCATTGTGCTGACTAACATTTCTTTCCCTGATTGAATTTACAGTAAGTTACTTATTATATAAGGATTTCGTTTCATAGAGAATGACCAGAGGCGTTGAAGTTAATTCAGACAACTCATAGTGGGTGTTGCCCTACCATAGTAGGCTTGTGTTTATGAAAATCTATGGAAACCAGTTTGCAGTGTTTAGAGATCCATTTATGTATGAGCTAGTTCAACGTTCAGTTCACACATCTTAAAACGAACTAGTTCATTGTTCTTTTTACTCTCAGTGTGTTGCTGTGAGCCTCATATGCTGGCATTTTATTTTGATTCATTTATTTATTGACTTTATTTCAGGAGAATTAAAACCGCTTGAGATGAGCCATCTCGGGTCCTCTTACCTTACAACCAAATAAAGCAAGATAGCAGAGTAAATTAAAAAGGCAAATCTAGAACACGAGTCACAAACTAAAAAAGAAAACATTCTATTGTGGCATGTACAACATTTTTTGACTTGTACACATACACATGAAGCCAAGCATTGCAAAATGACATTGCAATAATTAGGGAATGGTAATGCTATTAGGCAGTGGAGGTGAAACAATTGCAAGTCTGCACTCAGCATAACATATTATAGATGTAATTGGAAAATAATCCAGATGTTGAAATTTACCTTAAATCTTTGGGTAGATTTTTCTAGACCAGAGTAGCTTTAACACAAAAAGCACATTTCCCTGCTTCTTTTTTTAAACCGGGGAATAACAAAAGAAAGCAGGTCAGTGAATCAAGTATGATGCAGAGAATCAATAAGTGTTTTAAATAAGATGGAAAATCCAAATAAATGCATTTGAAAATAAATAACCAATGAAATTGAAGCCTAGCTTTTAAGGAGAGCCATTTTCTAATTGTTACTAGTGTGCAGCGTATGGCCGTACCCAACTGCAGCTTTTAACCATACAGTATATTCTCAAAAACATAAAGGGAACTTGTTTGAATTTGCGGAATTATTAGGAAGGAACCAGGCTGAGGTCACAAAGTGCAAAACAGTTAAACATGTCACTTTTCAATTTTTGTGAAATAATTTTCTGAGTTGTCTGCCCAAAGAAGAAAGAAAATTAATAGAAATTGTGTTTTAAAGTGTAACAATCAGCCCAAACGGATAAGTAATAAAACAAATAAAAAATACCAGCGCAACTTCTATGTTTCTAGATTTGATGTTTCACCCTAACTTGCATCACTCATTCTTCACTCTAGCAAATTCTCATGAAAACTGAAGCAGCATCATTCCTCGCTGTCATCATCATCATCATCTGACTTTAATGTTTCTTTAAGTCTAAAGGAAAACGTCAGACTTTTGTTCTGTTTCAGATGTGGAAAAAATAGTTGAGTTTATTTTACAAATCAGATCAAATGAGTTTCAATATGTGGAAGACTGAAAAGCAATTTTTTAATTATTTTTTCTTATCAGTCACTCAGAGTTTTACATGCAGGCTGGACATGAAAATAGTCTCCTACACCTATCTCCTGCATCAGCTTCTGATAGAAAATAGACCGTGAAACTCTAGGACTCAAAAAGCTTGACGGATCTACGTCACACTGTCACTTAACATCCATGGACTCGCCCATCCTGACTCATGGCAAGGAAGGCTGTTGTTTTAGCGTCCAGGAAATGGCAGAGTGTGTCTTGGCTGGTAGAAGCTAACTGTTAGCATTAGCAACTCATTAACACAACAGAACTCCTCTATGCTTGTGATATTTGTGGAGCTTAAACATCAACGTTCTAAAGTAAACAGAGTCAGTCGTAGAGTCACATTGCTGTTATCCAATCAGATGCGAGATGTCCAAATATAAGGAAGTAAACTCCAGATCCTGCAGTCTAATTCTCTCCTCTGATCTGGCAATCTTTTAGATCCTGAAACGGGCCCATCAAGGATTTTTGTACCCAGAATACAGCTTACAAGGCTACTAGAGATCACTGCAAGTGTATTGATTAAACGAGTTAACCACATCTTTAAATATTCTTTCAGATTCTGAAAATGAGTTACCCAGGTTACCCTCCACAATCTGGTGGATACCCAGGAAGTGGTTATCCACCACAGCAAGGAGGATACCCACCACAAGCGGGCGGCTTCCCTCCAGCAGCAGGTGGCTACCCTCCAGCAGGTGGCTACCCCCCACAGGGAGGCGGATACCCTCCCCAGGCTGGCGGTTACCCTCCAGCAGCAGGCGGCTACCCTCCAGCAGCAGGCGGCTACCCTCCAGCAGCAGGCGGCTACCCTCCAGCAGCAGGGGGCTATCCTCAGGCTGGTGGCTACCCTGCCCCAGGTGGAGGCTTTCCCCCTCAGGCTGGTGGATATCCTGGACAACCTGGTCCAGGAGGCTTCCCTTCCGTGCCTCCTGCAGGTGAGGTTGCATCCGTTCAAATATGTTTGAGATGAATAACATTTTCATTGTTGTGCCAATGTTTGTTTTTCAGGTGGGGGCTGGGGTGCAGCACCAGGTGGCTATGGCCCGGTACATAAACTTTGCACTCTTTACAACTCTCATGCAAAATCACTGATAAGATATGGACAGACTTAAGCTAGATCACAAGTTTTGTATTCACTGACTTTATCTGAGTTTCGTATGAGGTGTATCCACCTGTACATAGTAATTACAACAGCACTGTGTTTGCAGCCAGGAGGAGCTCAGCCAGGATACCCAGGGGGCCCAGCCCCAGGCCAGCCCATGCCTAATTACCCCGGAGCCCCTGCCACTGGACCCTCGATGCCTGGATATGGAGGAGGAGTTCCATCCAACCCTCAGGCTCCACAAGTTCCTGTAGGATTTTCTTGTTTTCATTAAAACACGTTCTGTGAAACTTCAGAAATTGCATTTGCTAACCTTTATGGTTTTATAGAGAGGATACCGGGGCTCCATCAAAGACTTTCCTGGGGCTGATCCACTGAAGGATGTTGAGGTTCTTAGAAAAGCAATGAAGGGTTTTGGTGAGTTAATGTCTTTCTAGTTGGATTTGTCAGAAACACGTTTACATAGTTGAAGAGTTTATCTCCTCGTTTAAGTTTTATGTGGCGTAAATTTGTACTAATGACAAAACATTTGGAACAGGCACTGATGAAAATGCTATTATTGAACTTCTGGGCAATCGCACTATCAAGCAGAGGGTTCCGTTGGTGGCAGCCTATAAGACCACATATGGAAAGGTGTGTTAATAAAACAAATGAGGTTTTTGTTCATTTATGAAAGTTTCAGCTAATTTTGTCTCTTTTTTTATATTCTTTGATTTGCTTTCATGCATTCAAGGATTTAGTGAAAGACTTGAAGTCTGAGCTCACTGGAGACTTTGAAGATCTGGTTATTGCCATGTTGAAGACCCCATCTCAGTTTGATGCATCGGAGCTCAGAGCAGCTATAAAGGTTGGAAGCTAAGTCTAATACAGCATAGTCTCTAATTTAGTTCAGTTTGCATCAAAGGGCAAATATGAAACAAAATGACGTGCAATTAAATTTCCTGTGTAGCGGAGGCAAATTGATGATCTTATTTGTTTTGACCATGAAGATGTAATATTCTATATAAATATAAAATATCAACCTGCTAGGTTCTTTATTGTAATTAATCAGAAGATTCTAGGATTTAATTCAGAAGATCTAGGTTCTTTGCTTTTTCAGTGATCAACCACACTTCGTGTTACTTCAAGAACAGAGTCGGGTTTATAAAAGTAAGAATTTATTTCACAAACAATTTAAAACATGACTAATTAAGCATTTACTGTGATTGGATTTAACTAAACGTGAGGAAGGAACCTATTTGTGACCTATGTGTGAATGCGATGTCAGTCAGAGCTTCCTTTTCAAAGTAAGCTGAGTTCTGGTGGAAAGAATTTGGTTTGCTCTAAGCTATAAAGTTGTTATCATCAGAAGAACATTCAGACACAATCTGTCATGTCTACTTCACCCGTTTTGGAGAGACCCTCTTGGTGGATTCGAAAGTCGCAGGGGTCTGCTGACCTCTGGCACCGGAGGGCTGTAGAATACCGTGGTACCGACTCTTCAGTCCAGAGATGTCTCAGGTCACAACAGTCAGGATGGAACCGTGCGTCTGGCGGACTCTTAAGGAGTCTAACAATATCAGCTTTGTTTATGCAGGAACTGTTTGCTCATCCGCTTTGCAGGTGCAAAAAGGTTTTGACGACGTGTCTTTGACGGTTAAAGAGGTTTTGCTACAGATGGCCGGTTTGAGCGATTCTCTAGAACTGTCGAATCTCTCAGAATGATCTAGTTTTAAGGTTTAGCTGTTATGATTTGCACAGCCAATCAGAGGCTGACAAGTTTGGAGATGTTTTACCAAGACAACTCGGAAACACACCCTCTTTGATATCGGATGTCCTGACTGGTTAAAAAGGCAAGTTATGTGTTGTAGTCTAACTTAACCGTGCTTGTAATTGTGTGGATGCAGGTGTGAGGACCTTGTCGTCAAAACATGTTGAACACTTGGCAGGATCTAGTAGACACACACAATATAACATCCATTCAGTGAGCACAGATTAATGAAGCATTTCATTATACTATAACTATTATAAGTAGTAATAAACAAATGTTTATTTAATGATTATCTATATTATAAGTCATATAAGAGGTTCATATTGATTTAGTAAATCATTCTTGAATTTAGCAACTGATTCGAGCCGGAGTTGTTCCTTCTGTGGAGGCAGAGAGATGGGACCTTGGGAAAGAAAGTTATTTATCTTTCAGACTTGCAGAGTCTGTGAATCCCAGCTGGTGTGAAGTCAGACTCATTTAAAGGGAACACATGCAACGCTGTGTCTCCTTTCTGACCAGATGTTGAATAGATGGTGAAAGGTCTGGCGTTGCCTAAACTGACCCTTGCTGGATGCTACACCTGCTTGTTTTAATTTTCTTCTTGTTTGTTTTTTCAGGGTGCAGGAACCGACGAAGCTTGCCTGATTGAGATTTTGTCATCACGTTCTAATGCGGAGATTCTTGAGATCAACAGAGTCTATAAATCTGGTGAGTGATTTTGGGATATATTTTTAGAGCCAAAACTTTGTTCAGCTTAAGTGAAAGAAAATGTACATCTGCATAATCAATTCTAAAAATATGAACCAATATTCCAATTGTAGGAGAATGAATGTTTTCCTTAACAGTTGTCTTCCTTTACAGAGTATGGAAAGACCCTGGAGGACGCCATCAGCAGTGACACTTCTGGCCACTTCCGCAGACTCCTGGTCTCTCTTTGTCAGGTGAACCCTTCTGCAAAATTTCCCCCTAATAAACAATGATAAACAATTGCAAATTTCAGGTTGGCCCATCCAAAGTGAAGCTTTCATTGGGCACTTAGCCTGGCTGAAGTTATTTTTTATCTGTTTGAACCAGGGGAATCGTGATGAGAGGGAGGCCGTTGACATCTCACTGGCCAAACAGGATGCTCAGGTTTGGCCTTAAAGCAGGTTCAATGTTGAAACATTTTGAAAAGAAGTCTTCAAACCTGTTTTTCTACCTCATCCCTGGGTTTCCTTTCAGAAACTACACGCTGCTGGTGAAAATAAAGTGGGGACTGATGAGTCTCAGTTCAATGCCATTCTGTGTGCTCGCAGCAAGCCTCACCTTCGTGCAGGTGTGGTACCTAAATAGTTGCAATTCCCTTTTGTTTCTTCTCATCTTAGTAAGAGTTTTTATCTTGATTCTTTTAAAGTCCAAAAATATATCATATTTTTAACTTAAAATGTTTAAAATAATGTTGTTATTTTTGCTGCTCAGTTTTCCATGAGTACCAGCAGATGACTGGGAGGGAAATTGAGAAGAGTATCTGCAGGGAAATGTCAGGAAATTTGGAGTCCGGCATGGTGGCTGTGGGTAAGCCCTATTCACCCTAAATCATAAGTCACAAGTCATTAAAATTCATATATATTTATATATACATCTTAAAGAGCAAGTTGCCACCCTACAAGGGTCTTACTCCAACCCCACTTCCTGTTAGAAAGTGCACCAAAAGGAGGACTTGCCTGCAGTTACTGAATGCACCCCGCACTCTCCACCCCCCACTTCTCAGACAGAGAAATACATTTAGAACTCTAGAAGGCACTATATCAAATACAGGTCACTTACCATTCAGCACTATTAGACACTTATTTATACAGTTTGTCAAAAACAAAGTGGATTTAGGGGTAACTTGCTCTTAAAAACATAATTTAACTAATTCTATAACCTCTGGCTGACGTATCAGCGTAAACATCCTGTTAATAGTAGTTTTATTTGTTCTTACAAACTGTGCACATTTTTCCCTGTAGTGAAATGCATCAAGAACACCCCAGCCTACTTTGCAGAACGGCTTCAAAAGTCTATGAAGGCATGTTTTGCACTTTGTTTTTATAGATTTCTCTCCTTGTATTATGAAGGACATATTATGATAAACTTCATGACATTTTGTTTTTTAAATACAAACAGGGAGCTGGAACCAAGGACAGAACCCTGATCCGTATCATGGTGTCCCGTTCTGAGGTGGACATGTTGGACATCAGACAGGAGTACCTGAAGGCCTATGGAAAGTCTCTGTACACCACCATCTCTGTAAGTCCCTCTAATTATAGGTGAAACTCAAAAATTAGAATATGGTGCAAAAGTTCATGTCAGTAATTCAACATAAAAGGTGAAACTAATGCATGAGCTAGGCTAATTCCATGCAAAGCCAGATATTTCAAGCCTTTATCTGTTTATGATTGTGATGATTATGGCTTGCAGCTGATGAAAACCCCACATTAAAAATCTCAGACAATTAGAATATTATGAAAAGTTGTAATGTTCTAGACTCAAAGTGTTACAATCTAATCAGCCAATGAATTCAGAACACCTGCAAAAGGTTCCTGAGCCTTTAGATGGGCTCTCAGTCTAAGTTGGATTACTGAAATAAACACTTATCCATCATATTCTCATTTTATCAAATATATTATTATAGTATATAATTTTGATAAAAACTTCCATGATTTTACCAATTCATATATTTGTTAAATGATCTGACACGTATGGTGTTTCTCAGGGTGATACTTCTGGAGATTACAAGAAGCTGCTGCTGAAGCTGTGTGGTGGAAATGACTAAACGATGGCACCCCATCAGAACAGTGGCGACGTCCACCTTAAGCCTTATATCACTTCTGCTGCATGCTGCAAACCTTATAGCAAATCAGTAACTATTCTCTTTAGTGACACGACTTTTGACGAATGACAAATCATATTCTATAAATGTAGAAGATGCTTGATTAGAAAAATATAAAAAACATGTGCCATGTTATTTCTTACTTTGCAGATGTTCACCTTGTTCAATAGAGTACTATTTAAGATTCACTATCGATGCATAGTTTGCTTTAATTTGTACTTTTTATGTTAAAGGGATAGCATTACATGCAATAAAGTATACTCGTATACAAGATATTTAAAATATTAACATTTTTACAAAAAATATGTTGGTTATTACTAATAAAGAGTCATAATTTATGCAAATTATATCAATCAAACTTTGTAGAGGGCCAGACTGAAGGTTCATGTATTTTTTTTGGATTATAAGAAACAAATATGGGAAATGTCTCCTTTCCATTTTAAAGTCTTTCACTAATTAGAAGGTAATTCCTGCTTGCAAGTCTATGCAAAGAGCTTTCTATTATCACACTATTCTTTATTATTCATAGAAAATGTTGCCTTTCACTTTTCGAGAAGAAGCCAAAGTTTAAACAGACCGTGTTAATGCCTTCTGTAACTGATGGGGATAAACAATCTTCATATTTGCATGCCTGCAAAATGTAATTTTACAGGATTTGTTTGTTTGATAAAATTGTTTATTTTGCCTACATAGTTTATTTTGTGATTTGTATGTTATACAGCCAGTAGGGGGCTCCTTGTTCACATTAAGTGCCATTTCCAACCGCTCATTGTTTTGCCAATGCTGAAATATTGAAAGATACTTTTTCTATTTCAAAACTAATCACTTTTCATTTTAATAAAAGGGTTTGGCGTATCTGGGTTTTGTGCCTTTTTGCAGGAAACGCTGTGAGTTTCCAGCTCATTTGCATCGTATTACGAGAAGCCACCTCCTTTTGGCATCACGAGCAGCGTGTGGTGTTTAAAAAGCGAATAATGTGGCCTAAACAACTTGACGTGATTGTTTTGGGCAGTTTAATCTCGGAAAGTGAGGAAATGTTCAAAGTTATACAAAACGGAGCTTTTTCTTTGAGGCTATAAATAGTGGATGTCCTAAAATCTTCTATCTTGGGTGTTTACTTACCTCAGAGAGCAGCCTCAGAGGGAATGTGTTGCTGAGTCAAATGACTTGGTGGTTCACTTCCTTGACTTCACTTTGCACTCAAAGAAGAACCCACCCGCCTGACGACAAAGAGGGATAAATATTTAATGTCTGTGTGTACTTTATTCAGCGGAGAGTGTCTGCACTGATACCTCTTGAAATATAGGTCAGATGGAAATCACGGCCCGGCTGTTACGCGTGCTTTTACCTAAAGTGAATGAACTTCACGCTGATTTGGACTTAGACAAAGTTCTTTAAATATGAATGTGTGGATGAAATCTAAGAGAAGATGAGATTGGCTCCGATAGATTTAATAGAACTGCAAAACTAAACATTTTAGTTTAAAAAAAAAGAAAAATTAATGTTTAACGAAAACACAGAATGGGGAAAAAAAATTAACAGTTCCCTCACCACTGTCCTCTATCGTTAACACTCATCTCAGACAACCAGTAAAAGTAAGCATTGGCAGAATTGTTGAGTTTTGCTGTGGATTTTCTGCAGCTGTCCAATGAGGAATGTGCAACTTAGTGACATTTAGTTGCCAAGGACGTAATCCTGCTTTAAACTTCATGAGTGCATATGAGCAAATTACAAACCCCAGGATTAGATGGACATATAATGAGATGTAGAAGCAGATGGATATCACTGACCCGCCTGCAGAGCTGCACACCAGGAGGTTTTAGGTCCATATGAACCTTTAATAAATCATGGAGTAGAAGAATGCCTAACTTTATCCATTAAAAAAAGGTTAACATGTCACAAAAAGCTACTGAAGATGAGGAATGAAAAACGTAGATGACCTAACTTGTTTGCATAGTGAGCTCCAAATGGATTTTCCAGGCTCCCAGAGAGCAAATTATGTTATGTAACCACTTACATTGTTAAAACAGTTTCAACCTTAAACATAGGACTCTACAGGCTCAGTATGTACTGTACTAAGCTCTAAAGCCAGGCCTTGTATGCAAACTCCAAATTAAAGCCACAATTCTTGTAAATACAATATTCAGAAACCTCATTTAGCCACAGATTATGGTAATCGAATAACAGATTTTCACAACCCCCCCCCCCCCCCCCCCCCCCTTCTGGTGTTTACTTGGAGCCTACAACACATTTGTATTTCATGCATATTCTTTTAGCTTTGGAGTTTTATGTGACATTTGGCTCCTCTGGGATTCAGTGGATTATGTAGGGCAGAAGAAAGCTCATAGTGGGGCAGCTGTGGCAGAGGACAATCTGGAGAAGGAACAGGCGGTGCTGCAGTATAAATCTGTTCCACAAAGAAATCAGATCATAAAATAAAGGCTACTGGATTACCCTTATCACAAAGTATCAGCCTCTGCAGACACGCTGAAAGCAGCATGTGCTGCATCCTTTTTCCTGATTAATCTAGCCTAGCGGATGAGACTGGAAGCAAATCCAATTCCAATGCATGATTAATGGTGTAATATTTACACAAATACTTAATTTATCACAATCACCATTTTCAATTATTGCAGAACATGGAAACAAACATGAGTGTCTATTCCTTAGAGGCAGAAGACCAAGACAGAAGTACAGTATTTTAGACTAATACAAATGTAAAATACCCTCCAATCTATTATAAGTGATTTTTTTAAATAGAAAAATAAATTATAAATATTATTATCAGGTTGGATGATGCTGGTGTTATTTTTATAGAATTGGCACCATTAGTAGTACCGTAGATCTGATTTCCTTGTGCCTTTTGGGACCAGAGATAACTGGTTTTAAAACCAAGCAGTTCCACATTACAGCACAATGAGCCTCTAAACATATCTCTATAAACATTTTGTTATAGGTGTGCTAGTCACCTCATCGTGAATTTCACAAACAAGGGTGTGTTTTTAGAAGAGACAGGTAGAGGAGGGGCCACTGTTAATGTGGTTGGTCCCCTTAAGAAACAAAAACAAAAGCCGTAATAGAAATCCAGGAGTTTTAGCATGATGTTTTTTTTTTGTTTGCTATTTTAAAAACAATGCAGCATGCCTTTTTGATACAACTATACTTTGATTTATTTTGTCTTACAGAAGCTGTTTGTGATGTGATGCACAAAAACACATGCATTAAATGTGCCTTACATGTTGCTAAAAACCTCTTAAATTCCTATTTTAAAAATGCAGGGGCCAACAAATGCAAAATAGAGGCTTTTGATTGATTGTGTCCTATTGATCAGTAGAAGGACAGTAGAATCATAGGCCAAGGAAAGGCAGCTTAGCACATTTCATGCACAGAAGTAATTCAATGTGCTATGTGCTCAATGTTATATAAAGTTCATTAAATACAAATACATGTGAATCTCAAAAATGGACCCTTTTCAAACCAGCTGAATTCAACCAATTAAATTAAAAAAACATCTATCTAAAGGATATTTCTAAAAGTTTTCTCTGCAGGGTGGCTGTGCTCTTTCTTAGAGAGAAGGTGAGAAGCTTAGTCATCTGGGAGGGGCTCGGAGTAGATTAGCTGCTCCTTCACATCAAGAGGTCCCGGTTGAGGTGGCTCAGGCAGCTATTTGGGATGCCTCATGGGCATGTCCAGCTGGGAGGAGACCTAAAGGAAGACCCAGGACACGCCGGAGGGACTGTCTCTCAGCTGGCCAGGGAATGTTTTAGGATTCCCTCAGAGGAGCTGACCAAGTGGCTGGGGAGAGGGAAGTCTGGGCCTCTCTGTGGCTGCTGACCCCGCGACCTGACCTCAGATATGCAGCCGACAAAAAAAGAAAAAAATATATATATGCGTGTGTGTGTGTGATTAAAACTCTGTGGTTAAGGTGATTAATATGTTGGATTGAGTGCTTCTGATAGACGTAGTATGACAGGGTACTGTATAAGCCTAAGTGGAAATGGCCCTTTAATATCATGGAAATCCAAAAAGCAGACTACTACAGCGCTATCAACTTGTGAAGCTGAATACATGGCATTAGCGGCAACAATTCAGGAATGCATGTATTTAACTTATTTGATTGAAGACATTGATATGTTTGAGTATGAAACACCTAAGATCTTTGAGGACAATCAGGGGACAATAGCTTTGTCAAAAAATCCAGTGAACAGGCAAAGATGAAAACATATAGATGTAAAGTACCATTTCATACGGTCAGCAGTACATGAAGGAAGAGTACTTATTGAGTTTTGTCCAACTGAATCAATGGTCGCAGATATGATGACAAAACCAGTAACAAAGTACAAGTTGGAAAAGTTCTCTGTATTCATGTTTGGAATGTGAAATTGAATCGGTACGCATTTCGGTTTCCTTGCCTTTTCTTAACCTGTATACAAGTGGGGGTGTTGGATTGAGTGTCTACAGGTTTAAGTTATAATGAATGAACTCATGTCACAATAAAAGGACGGGTAATGCTCCACCCACTGTGGAAAGGACTGTCTGTCACAAGCGGAAGCAGATGAGCGGCGGAGGTGCAGTGGTGGAGTCCCCCGTCAAGAAAGAAGACTGTATGATTCTCTCATTTATTACCACTCAAATTCTAGTACAAGGGCGCAGCCCGAAAGCGACTCTGCTAACACCTAGTTTAAAACACAGACCCTGTTAAATAGCTTACATAAAGAGTAACATTCGTGATAAGAATGAATTATAAGTAAATAGACGTTGTTTTTAACGTGATTAAAGCGGCGCGGAGCCAGGTGTACTTAAACAACGAAGACCCGCCCACATTTACCTTAAATGTCCATTGCGCAGAAATATGATTGGTACAGAGCCACAGCTACTTGTACGGTGAGATATGGCGGAGTTTGTAGTCTCGTGCAATACTCGAGAGGAGTTTTTACACTTTCTAACGAGCTGAAATAACTTTTCCGTGGACAAACTCCCTCACAACAAACGGAGACAGACGCAGGGAGGCTTTCTCTCCCAGACGGACGGAAAAATGTGTTGTCATCTTCGCGCAGTCAACAGCCCCAGGCAACAAATATGGCTACTTCTTGTGTATCCTTCATTTCGGGTCGAAACCCGTCCCAACTGGGTCGACAGGCGGAACACTTTTGGTGAGACCCGACAGTAGAGGTCCGAAGGTTGGGTAGCAGCAGAAAGATTTGTTTACGAAGCTGGGTTCCTGCCCGAGTAGCCTGGTTCGGTTCGGTTCAGAGAGAGGGAGAAGATGGAGCTGCAGCATAAAGAGTTGCTGGAGAAATGTTACCAGAACTTAGTGGAGTCAATAACAGACGCGGACCGAGTAGTGGAGCTTTTGGCTCACTGCGGAGCTCTGAGTCAGCCCGAGCGATGCGAGCTGGGACACAACTGCTCCTCCAACTCAGAAAAGGTGGACCTGCTCCTGAAGATACTGATAAACAAGGACAGAGATTACTTCACGCAGTTGTGTTCAGCTCTGGAGAAGACCCACCCTCACCTGCTCACTCTGCTGCTGGACGGCATCGGCCCAGTGGACCACACGACTGGTGAGAAAGTAACTTTTTATTTGTGTTTTTATCCGTAATTCACACATTAGACCCTTATCCTCTGGGATGAATCACGTGATCTTTTTCCCACTACTGTGATTGCTTCATTTGTTATGTCACTAAAAGCGCAGCTTGCCTTTTGTGGAAGTATTTAATGGACTTAAAAGGATCCAAACAATCAATACAGTGGCACAACTGCCTGAAGGATTTGTGTGTGCATGTGTGATCGATGCCCCGCTGTGAAAGTCAAATGAATGAGAACAATTAAATGTGACCAATGGAAGACAGCAGTTTAGTGTTGCTGCCACCCAGAGTAACCTTTAGTTTTTTGTTTTACAATAAAATCCACCTTGATGTTTGAAGTTTAATATCAGAACTAAAAAGTGATCAGACTTAGCCTATGATCTAGACCAAATTCTTGCTTTGCAAAGTAATATTTATTTAGTCTGGCTTGCCAGGCTAGATCAAACTGCCATCCGATCCTAAAAAGATGAAAACTATAATTGCAATCAAGCAAGTTATGGCCAAGTACTTCTTGAAGAAGTTGTCACCTTTCATACCATAATTATGCACTGAAATTATAATCTTCAGAAATGATGGAGATGCAGCAAATTGGGTAAATCCTTATACCTGTATAAAAATACAGTGTTTCTGCTAAACTCACTTTATTCAGAGTAAAGAGAAATATCCAGTTTATGGGCACTTTCATGTTGTTTTTTTGGAACCGCATTCTGTGCACTCAGGAGGTGGAGCCGAGTGTTGGTTTATACATCAAATTAACAACTGGAATTAAACATTAGGAAAACTGGTTTAACATAATGCAGCAAGAATAAGAGTCAACACCTAGAAAAAATAGTCTGAGATGTGTATTTATTTAAAAATTTAACCATCTATTTCAATGGTTAATTGCATGTATAAACACCTATGGTTCTACAACCCTCCAAGAAGCTTCAAAACAAAATCTTAAAATCTGCAACCCTCAGGTTAAAGGGCCTCTACCACCGTTACCATTATTGGATCAAAATAATCAAGTTTGAGTTTTGACATATTCAAACAGCTTTAATTGAAGACTATGTCACTTTGTATTCATTGTGCTTGTTTTTAGCGGTAGTACTACAGTTTTTCAAGATGGTAATAAATAGGGATGTGTATTGGTGAAATTATGACGATGCAATACGTATCAAGATACAAGGGAGACAATATGTCACAATATATTGCGATACATTCAGTCAGACGATATTATTGATTTTTATTAGACTGAATTTATCATAGGAAAATTTAATAAACAGTCCAAACATGTTTAACACGAGGTATCTGAACCATAACAGAGCGATTTACATTTCAGTGTTGGAAAGAAAACCCATTGCACACTGCTGCCAACTATCAGTCGGCGTTTGAATTGCACCAAAACAAAAGAAAATAGCCATATAGAATATTTTCTTACATCCCTAGTAATAAAATGATCAAATTAGATTTAATAATAAAAAAAAAATTCCTCTTATGGTCAAGGCCGGATTAACCATATGGGCAAGTGGGCAATTGCCCAGGGCCCATGATCTCTAAAGGGCCCAGGGCAGCAAGGGCATGAGCAAAATACTGTAGGCCTATCTGTAATCTCCCGCTTTATATTAAACTAGGGTGACCGTACGTCCGGTTTTCCCCGGACATGTCCGCTTGTCACTCTGTCCGGGCGTCCGGACTGGGGGTTCTTGTATTGATGAAAATGTCCGGCTTTTCATCCAGGAGCAGGGATCGAATTATGGGGGAGTTAGATATCCTACACATCCAGGGGAGCCGGAAAAAAGTTTTCTACTGATATTACATCATTTATGGACTCTTCTGAGCAGAGAGCGGCACAGTGCTTTGTTGCGCAGCGCTCCAGGCAGCTGCTTCCAGCGCACTGTCTATTATCAAAGTGGAGCAACCAAAAAAAAACTATAATTAGCACACGTCCGCACATGTTCTCTATTTTCTGTCTTTGCGCCTGAAGCGCTCTGCCACTGCGGAGCTCATCACCTGTGCTGAGGTGATTTCACCTCACTGACGCAGCATCGAAAACGCGCTCTCCGCTTTCCGGTCAGGAGATCCCTTTGATCTGCTCAAAAGTAACTGATGAGGTGAAAAAGTAAGAATCCAGGCAGCAGTTTTTCTGGAGAGTTTAGAGGAGATGCAGGAAGATGAGAGACAGACAGGACAGGAAATAGTTAAATAAAAACAAGAAAACAAAGTAAAATGTAGGTGGATTTATCTCCACTACACGTTTTTGCCTGCAAAACAATAAGTTATACACATGTCATATTTATACATCTGATACAATTCAGATCACCTTCAAAACTCTGTCACACACCCAGGGCCGTTTCAAGACATTTTGGGGGCCAAGGCAAAATGACCCCACCTACCCCCACCCCCCATAAATGGGCTCCCCAGAAGCCTCTGTGTAATTCATACCCTCTCCAGGAGTATTAGTTATACAGTGTTTATAAAAGCTCCTCAGACATCGCTGACATGTTATCAGATGAAAAACTAAATTATCAGACACGCTGTCTCATCTGCTGCTTTTCTAAACTTTCAAAAAGTAACAAAACTATTTGAAAGCCACTATTTGTGGATTCTCTGAAAGTTTCCGTGGAGTGTGTGACAACTTATTTTTTCATTGATCCTATCGTCTAATCTCACAGCTGAAACAAGCATCCTTAATAATCCGTGCACAGGAAGCTTACCGATGGTGTAGTAAAACAAAAGGTATAATAATTCCTTATTAATAAAACCTTGTTGCAGCACTAAAGCAGAAAAACGAGATTTTGCAATAAATATGCTAAATATTTACATATGAATTGTTTTGGAGCCCTTTTATTGGCAGAATCTGATATTAATTTAGTTCTTACAAAAAAATGGGTCCCAACGGGGTTTGTGTGGCGTTGCCATAGTGTGACGTCATGGGCACAGATCCCCTGTCCTCTTGTTTGGAAATGGAAATATGATCACCCTATATTAAACAAACTGTCCACCCAGGCCTTTGCGCTGCACAGAGACGCTTCGCTGCCTATGACTTTGAACGTCAGTTGAGAGTCAGTCTCATGCAGACTGACCATTGAAGAGAGAGCCTCAAGTTAAGACCCTCTCCTCATTGGTCAGTCCACACGAGGTGGGTCAAAGGTTACCCTGAGCGGGTTACGTGATGTCAGCCATTCAAGTATTGAGTATATTTACTGCATATTACAGTAAAATATTCTGTATGTGACCATATTGTGGTGATCCTTGGGTCGTGATGATGGGGCCCTTGAATATTGTTGCCCAGGGTACAACAAAGTGTTAATCTGGCCCTGACTATGGTACATTTATGTGTGCTACTATTCAAAGAGACTGGAATACAGCTGAAGTCTCTTTTGGCTTAATTAAATATATCCCTTTTGAATTGTTGAAGGCCTATTAATCCACTAAGAAGTTTATTAAGTGAATGTAAGATAAAGAACACAAATAATAAATGCTTTGCAGTACAGCATGCACGCCTCGTGCACGAGCCAGTGCATTATGGGGTACCTTGCTGGCTTAAAGGGGCATTATGGAAGTTTGACAGCCAAAACATGTATAGAAATAATAAATTTCTTCTTCATACATTCTCCTGCAATGCCCTTGTCTTGTAGAATGAGCCCTGACATTTTTACTGTGATTGCCTGTTTTTCTGTAAAATCACAGAAAAAGAGAGCTGCTCGGGTCGAGCAGGCTGCTTCATGTGCGTTCACGCTCAGGCATCGCCCGTAGCGTTTGCTATCCGTAGCTTTAGCAGCAGAGAGTGAAGTAGTGCCAACTCAGCGACTTTGTCGCTGTTCCTAACGCCTAGTGACAAAGCTAGCTACATTTCTGAGGACTCTTAGCTACTTTCTTCTAGTTATTTCCTGCAAATTAGCAACAAAATAGACATTTTCGCTCCGAACCGTTCTTTGAACGTTGTTTTAGCTGTAATCAAGGATATAAATATCACAGATACTGAAAATGTCAGTGGTAGTCTAGCTCATCTAGTTAGACGTCGGACTATTGTGCAGGAGACCCGGGTTCGATTCTGGGTGAGAACACAGTTTTTTTAAGAGTTTTAACTTTAATGGTATATTTTTTTACAGTAAGATGCCCAAATGTTTATTTGAGACTCGCCGAACAACATTGAATTCACAGATAAAAAGATGTGGGTTCAACTTTCATTTTGGAACAATTTTTCAAGCAAGGGAAGGGAATGATCTGAGCATGCAGGAGGACTGACCCATCATAAACCTTTGTCGGCTGTGGTGAAGAGAAAGGTACAGAACCAAATTTTTTAATTAGCTGCGCATTCTCCTGCCTGCTGTCCTCTGGGACACACACACACACACACACACACACACACACACGGGGTTGTACGGACTAGTCGACTAGTCGACTTCACGGCTCTGAAGTGACTTTTTATGCCTGTCATCGACTAGTCGCTGTCACGTGATAATGACTGACAAGATGCAGTCCTCGGAAAAGACAGCGGGTGATGAGCCCCTGCGCGTCTGGATCGAGGCGGAGGCGACGCGCTGTGCGGTACTGACACCGGCGGTAAAACGGACATTTAACCAATCTGTGACCTTTTCCCTCTTGCAATTTAACCTTCCCCTCACCCCCATCCTAATCTTAACCAGTTTGTGCATGCAAATCTCTGATCGTTGACGTGCGCTCCAGACATTGCGTCCTGAGCACCGCGAAATCAGGTGTCACCACCTCAAAAACAAATTAAACACGCGATCGTTCATGTTGGCTCATTTCCTTTCATGTTTTCTGTCTGTTATTTGTGCCTGATGCATTTCGCTGCTGCGGAGCGAGGCGCATCACCTGTTGTCCTCCGGTGACGCACCCCCAAGATTACACTATCTCCACTCCGCTCCGCTCCGGCATGAACTCCGCAGCAAAAACGGTCCCGTTGTAGTCGGCTGGCGAGCAGCGGCACTCCGCTGTTTTTGCGGTCGGTAGATCTTTTAGAACTGCAG